TCCGACATGCATGCTTCTCTCATTCTGAATCAACAAACAACAATGCAATAAGAGGACAATATGGGTTTTGTGAAAATTTATTTTGTAGAATTGGGTTTATTTAATTTTTCTTTCCTTTGATGAGTAAGAATGACTAAAAAAACTTGCTTCCACAAAGTTAAGATTGCCTACGAGACTTGGCCCCTAGTGCTTTATGCCAAAGCATACAACTGGTTCAGTGCTAGTACTTTCTAAATGGTGCATGGTGTATACACCTATCGTGGGTTGCTTAATAGGATTGCCTAGTATGATTTTGGATTGATGTCTTCTTCCTTGTCAGCATCCATGATCATGCTCATTGTATGTTCCTTTTCCCCCCTCAGCTTGGGTACGTGATCTACAGACGGGTGCTACGGTATTACTCTGGGGAGGAAGATGGGTTAGGTGAGTATCTGCATCCAAACCACAATTCCTGCCATTCTGCTTCATAACATAGACGACTCTCATCTTTTGCCCATGTTTTTTTTTCCTTTCCAGATATGAGGAAAGCATTATCTCGGGATGTGGAAAAGAAGTCTGTTGTCCCCCTTAAGCGGCCAATTACTCCGAATGAATTGGAGTATGATTAAGGTTGATTTAAGTTGAATGTTCTGTCAATGTAAGTATGATGGCTCTGGGTCAGCATGGTTGTGGCTGTTGTAGATGCTGGGATCTTGTGCCATACGTTGGCTGTAGAACATCAGGTATGTCAAACATAAGACATAAAGTATACATTGGTGGTTCATTATTCCAACATTTGTTATGGTTGGATTTGTAGTGTATGTTACTCTGTTATGTTATGGATTGCAATGGTAAGTATTGAGATGCTTTTTTGGTTATCTAGAAGTTAGTGATTCATTATTCAAACTTTTGTTACTGTCGATATGTTGACCAACTTGCTGCTTCATTTTGTGAATTGGGACCTCAGTTTCTCCTTGAAATATGTCTTGAATGGCATCTGGCTTTATGTTCCTTTTCGTCTTGCTTTATTTTGTGAATTGGGATCTCAGTTCCTTCTTCAAATATGGCTCAAATGGCGTTTGACTTATGTTATGTGCTCACTGATTATTGGACACGAGATGAAAATAGCAGTCTGAGCTTCCATAGTGCTAAAATTCCTTTTTTTTTT